CGAGGAATCTCAATCCATAACATAAGGTTCATAACACACTCTGAGCTGTCTCGCATCACTGCTGTGTTCTCTATTAGAATCAGCCATGTCTATGTATTATTTAGAAAACACTTGCAAGTGCATTACTTTTATAAGAATAAAAATTGTTTCCCTTCAACTGCTTTCCATACATAACTTTCAGGGACTTCAGGAGCAGTTATACCCAAACAAATAAAAAAAAAAACTCAGCAAAAAAACCCCCCAAAACCCACAAAAACTGTAAGTAACCGGCAATTCTCACATCTGAAAACGTAAAGCTTTTCCTGTAGAGAATGTTTAAGGTCTGGAAGTGGCAGTGCCAAGAAATCTTATTCAGTTAACATCACCCATGCTCTCCCTTTATCGTAAGAAACCTAAAATTGCTAAAGAATCTGTAGTTAAAACAAATTTAAACTCTTTAAGACAAGGAAGCAAATACATACCTATTTCATCACTAAGTTAAGACGGGATAATGGAACCTCGCTTACAGTTAACACAGAACATGTCCACAAGTACCTTTGGACGGGACACGTGCAGAGCTACCTACGCTATGGCAACTCCTCGCTGCCAGGGACACGGCTGAGCTTTGGCAACCTCCACTCCCTTCGAGAGATCGGAGTCAGGAGAGGCCCTGGGAAGACCCACGCTCGAGAAATCACGACCTCCGAGAGGGAACTAAGTTGTGGTGACGGCGTGGCCTGCCTCCGGTTGCCTAGCAGTCCCTCCCCGTTCATGGAGGAGGCCCGCGTGGCGCTCCCCGGCCTCTGGCAGCGCCCACCACAGGTGCACTTGGCCCAGGGCCTGGGACAGGTCTCACCGAGCGGCAGAACCAGACTGCCCCAGGGCCGAGCGATCCCAGAGGGTCCACGCCTCCGGGGCGCCGCATGGCAAAAAACTCGCGGTATATTCAGGCCTAAGGCTAAGTTTGGGGAGTTGGGAATCACACGGACTGCCAAGAGGAGAAAAGTGGGATTTCCGGCGCGGGGAAGCTGAGGGACGGTTTAGAAGTGGGAGAAGCGGACATCTGGAGGAAAAATGTCCTCCATCCGCCAACGGTAACCGGAATAAAGACACGGGGCCTCCCACCCTCAGCCAAGAACCACTGCCACCATTGAGGGGAGAAAGCCGCGGGGCCGAAAGCGGGGGAGGGGAAGGGGCGGCTTCCCGGCAGCACCCAGCGCGGCCTCGGCATCCCGCCGGGGCGACCTTCCCTCGGCGGGGTGTCGCACTCACATCGTGAACGGGGCAGGGGGACGGGTGAATGGGTGGGTGGGCCTCTCCGGCGGCAGCTGCTGGGCAGTGGACTAAACTCCGGTGGCGACTCCGACGTTTTCTCCGCGGTGCGGCCTCTACTCGCTTCCCTCAGCGACGGCGGCAGCGGCGGGCTCGACCTGGTCCCCAGAATGCACCGCGCGGAGAGAGCGGCTCCTCCGGTCGGGGAGAGGAGGAAAGTGTAGGAAAAGGGGCGCGAGGATGGAGAACGAACGTGCGTGCGTGAGAGCGAGGGCTGGTGAGGCCGGGCGGCGGCTGGTGACGCAGCAAAATGCCCGGGCCCTGCCGCCGCGCCTGCGCACTCTTTGTTGTCGGGCTCCTGCGCGGCTTTCTAGAGATATCTACGGAAGGGGCGGGGCCTCCCAGCTCTGCGCGATTCTTCCCGGCGCTGGCCCCTCCCTCCGCCGGCTGCCGGGGACCCGACTCCTTCCCGCCTCTCCTCCCGCGTCCCCCACCCCGGGCCTTGGAAAACCGTTGGCCAGCTAACTGCCTCCCCGCGCGCTGTGGGCGATCTCCCCGGGAAACGGCTGCGGCGACGGCGGGAGGAAGGCTGAGGCGGAGGGACGCACGGAGTCGGGAGGCTTGAGAAATGAAATGGGGGCTTGATGACTCTGGAGGGCACAAACAAACCCCGGAGGAAAACATTCCACCCCCCCCCCCAAAAAAAAAAAAGATGTGAAAAGATGGCCTGTGCTGGTGATAGTTGCGGAAAAGGGTTAACTTGAGAATCGAGGGCCTGGCCCCGCGCGCCATTTTTCACAAGGTTGGAAAGAGGTCCAGGGGCAGCGGAAATGCCAGGTCTCTGGCTGAGGAGGAGCGCTGGCCGCTGGCGTCCGGCGGTCGCCTGGGCTTTGGGGGGTGAGTGCTGTGGGTGCGACGGGAAGGTCGTGTGAGTGGAGAGGAGGCTTGTGGGCACCGAGAGGCTGGACACGCGGACTCCAGGCACTTCAGCTGGGGGGAGGGGCCCCTATCTTTTCAGCCGGTCTCTGGAAGCACCGCCTTGTGCGAGGCGCCAGGTGAGGCTGCAATGAGGGGTAATAACCAAGGGGACGGAAAGGGCCCCTGCTGGCCCCGGAGGGCCACGCAGCAGTGGAGTCGGGGAGAAACACACCGACGCGGCGCCAGTTAGGACACAAAGGAGGTTTTGGGAAGTGTTTGGGGCTTCATCTTCAGCGTGTTGGTGTCTGCTGGGCGAGGCAGGCACTGGGCACTACGGCCATGGGACCTGTGCTCAAGTCCGGTTCAACAGGTGAAAGCTCAGCTCTCGCAGGTTGACCCTAAGGAGCCTACTGCCCAAGGGGGAAATCAAATACACAAATCAGGACAATGGAAGCACAAAAGGTCAAATGGGAGCATACAAGGAGGAGGGGTCGATGTTGACCCTGAAGGATTAGGGCGGACCTTGTTAAGGAAAATGACCTGAAACGCAGGGAGCGGAGGGATGGTGGCCTTTCGGTTCCTACTTGGAACCCTTTTAAGCAGCCTGTGCCCAAGGGTCGCTCTCCAGGAGGAGATAGCTGTGTGTGACTAGCTGTGTGTGACTCTGTTTATTATATAATCGGAGTTCAAGCATTGTAAATTTACTTGTTACGGTGGGGGTTTGTGGCTGCTAGAAAAGCCAGCCTCAAAGTTAGTTTTGTTACTTTGTATGACAGTTTTGTTTAACCTACAACCTTATTGTAATTCTTTTTATGCCTATAAATATCTACTTCCTTAAATGTTCCTGGAACCAGCTCTACCATCTTGCTGGTTCTGTCAACCAGTTAAATGTTTGGCTCACAATTTTGTATCTGTGGGAGAATCATGTTTAAAAATTTTTAAAAATTCTACTTTGATACCTCATAGAGGTAACAGCAGGAATGAGTGGGAGTAGTACATTCCAGGCAGGAATCTTGGTAGGTGAAGAGATAGCAACAGAAGTATGTTTAGGTAAGGAGTGGGCAAACTTTATGTAAAGGGGCAGATGAGGCCATAAGCGTCTCTTGCAAATTTAGAAATCCGCTATCTTAGTATGAAATCAACCATAGAAAATATGTTTTAAAAAAATAGCTGTGCTTAAAAAAAAACTCACTAAGAATGCTGAAATTTAAATTTATGTTCACATGTCACAAAATATTATTTTCAAACCTTTAAAAATACAAAAATTGGCAGCCTGCTGAATTTGATCTACAGGCTGTACAACCCCTGGCCTAGGTAGTCCAGAGCGCAAGGGAATAATTCAAAGTAAGGTTTTGAAAGTTGGTCACAACCAAATAATGGTGGCACTGAATATCAGGCTAATTGTTTTCAACTTATTGCTCTGACAATGGGAAACTATTGAAGGTTTTTTTAAGGGGAGAACACATGTATTCTAGAAAGATTAATCTGGTAACAGCGTAGAAGATGAACTGAAAATGGAAGAACTGAATTTATGATAGAATTTAGAAGACTGCAACTCTTAACAGTATCTTCCCTTATCAAAATAAGTGCTGTGGGAAAACTGCCTTTCACACAAGGAATTTTTGAAAATTCAGACCTATTGCATCCTAATTCATAGTTTATTACCCCTGTTGGACATATTTCAAGGGATTTCATGGTAGTGTAACTCTGGAAATGGCTTCTCACCAGAGATTCACAAATACTGTAATTTGTAATCAGGTTTACCCATGCCTTTGCATGTTATCTCAGCCATTAGCTGATGGGGACCAGTTGTACCAGGGTGTGTGTGTGTGTATTTTTTCAAATTCACTAACAAGTATGAGTAGGAGGCCAAGTCTAGATTCAAACATGTATAATTAGTGTCAGTCTTTTGGGAGAGAAATCTGCAACCTCAGTTGGCAGAAATTAGAAAATACTTGGCAAGTATTAGATGCCATTTCACAAGATTAATCCTAACAGTTTCCTAAGAGAAAAGAAATTCCCAGGGCAAATTTTAAAATTAATTAAAGGAATGCAGAAACAATTCATCAATTTTTTAAAAAATATATTTTATTGATTTTTTTACAGAGAGGAAGGGGGAGGGATAGAGAGTTAGAAACATTGATGAGAGAGGAACATCGATCAGCTGCCTCCTGCAGACTCCCCACTGGGGATGTGCCTGCAACCAAGGTACATGCCCTTGACCGGAATCGAACCTGGGACCCTTGAGTCCACAGGCCGACGCTCTATCTGCTGAGCCAAACTGGTTAGGGCCAATTCATCAATTTTAATTGCAGCATTCATCATCTCTGATATTTTTCAGAGGACTGAATTTAAGTGTGTCCACAATCACTAATAGCAAAAAAGAATTTTATTGATTGACATGAACAATTTTTTAAAGTTGGGTTGTACAGAAGGCACCTCATCAATGTTTCTCATCAATGTTTCTCTCCCTTTCCCTTCCTCTCTCTGAAATAAATAACATATTAAAAATTAACAGATGAGAACAGTCCAGTTTTATGAGGAGTTTTCTAATAGATAAGAATTTAGAAGTTGTTAATTTTGTATTTGTAAGGCAAATAAAGGGAAAGAGGTGGTAAAGTAGTAATCAGTTCTAGGTATAGGGAATAAGAAATTGATCACAAAGTTTAAGGGAAATATCATGACGTACTTAAATATAAACATCACAGTCCAGGACAGGTAACTTGGTTGGTTGGAGAGCATCATCCATGGCACCAGGGTTGCAAGTTGCATTCAGGGTCAGGGCACAATGGGTCAATGTCTCTTACTCTCACTCTGGCTCTCGCTCGAACTCCCTCCTTCCCTCCCTCCCTCCCTTTCTCTAAAATTAATAAATAAAAATTTAAGAAAATAATCATCACATATAGCAACTTAAATTTGTTTTGTGGCCCTAACCAGTTTGGTTCAGTGGACAGAGCATCGACCTGCGGACTGAAGGGTCCCAAGTTCGATTCTGGTCAAGGGCATATATCTTGGTTGTGGGCACATCCCCAATAGGGAGTGTGCAGGAGGCAGCTGATCAATGTTTCTAACTCTCTATCCCTCTCTGTGAAAAATCAATAAAATATATATTTTTTAAAAATTCGCCCTAGCTGGTTTGGCTCAGTGGATAGAGCATCAGCCTGTGGACTGAAGGGTCCCAGGTTCGATTCCGGCCAAGGGCATGTACCTTGGTTGCGGGCACGTCCCCAGTGGGAGGTGTGCAAGAGGCAGCTGATCGATGTTTCTAACTCTCTATCCCTCTCTCTTCCTCTCTGTAAAAAATCAATAAAATATATATTTAAAAAAAAAATTGTTTTGTGATGTCATCATTATCTTCTTACAATTTGGAAGCATACTCTATCAGTCTGGCTTGCCAATAATGGAAAGGGTTAAAATTACTCTCGTGTTGAGCTTTTTCATAGTCTGGAATTTTGCTAGTAGTCTCTAACTGTGGACTGACAAAAGCATGAACAGCTCTGAGTGAATGAAGTGGCTTTTTTTTTTCTTAAAGTATTACAAAGAGTATTACACATGTCTCCTTCCCCCCTCCCTTGACATTCCCCCGGCTTCCCCCACCCCCCAGTGTCTTGTGTCCATTAGTTATTCTCATATGCATGCATATAAGTCCTTCGGTTGATCTCCTACCCTCCCCCAACCCTCCACAGGGTTCCCACTGTAGTTTGACATTCTGCTCAATGCTGCTCTGCCTCTGTATCCATTTTTGTTCATCAGTCTATAATGGTCCTTATTATCCATAAATGAGTGAGTTCATGTGGTATTTTTCTCAGCTTCCCAGGGGCTGTCTCAGCCTCACAGGGGCCGTTTCAACCTCACTGGGGCCGTTTCACCTTCACCGGGGCTGTTGCAAGCTCACCAGGGTCGTCTCAACCTCACAGGGGCCGCCTCAACCTCACAGGGGCCATTTCAACTTCACTGGGGCCGTCTCGACCTCACCGGGGCCGTCTCAACCTCACCGGGGCCGTCTCAGCCTCACCGGGGCCGTCCCAGCCTCACCGGGCCGGCTCAGCTTCACAGGGGCTGTCTGAACCTCACAGAGGCCGTTTCAACCTCACCAGGGCCGTTGCAACCCCACTGGGCTGTCTCGACCTCACCGGGGCCATCTCAGCCTCACTGGGGCCGTCCCAGCCTCACTGGGGCTGTCTCAGCCTCACATGGGCCGTCTCAACCTCACGTGGGCCGTTTCAACCTCACCGGGGCTGGGCCATCTCAACCTCACCTGGGCCGTCTCAACCTCACCGGGGCCGTCTCAGCCTCACTGGGGCCGTCTCAACCTCACTGGGACCAATTCAACCTCACCGGGGCCGCTTCAACCTCACTGGGGCCGTCTTGATCTCACGGGGGCCGTCTCAACC